CCATATCTGCTCGGCACTGTTAGCTACTGTACAATAGGTTATATCTCGGACCGACCCATATCTGCTCGGCACTGTTAGCTACTGTACAATAGGTTATATCTCGGACCGACCCATATCAGCCCGGCACTGTTAGCTACTTTACAATAGGTTATATCTCGGATCGACACATATCTGCTCGGCACTGTTAGCTACTGTACAATAGTTTATATCTCGGACCGACCCATATCTGCTCAGCGCTGTTAGCTACTGTACAATAGGTTATATTGCGGACCGATCTGCTCGGCACTGTTAGCTACTGTACAATAGGGATATCGCGGACCGAACCATAGCTGCTCGGCACTGTTAGCTACTGTACAATAGGGATATCGCGGACCGAACCATAGCTGCTCGGCACTGTTAGCTACTGTACAATAGGTTATAGTGCGGACCGACCCATATCTGCTCGGCACTGTTAGCTACTGTACAATAGGTTATATCTCGGACCGACCCATATCTGCTCGGCACGGTTACCTACTTTACAATAGGTTATATCTCAGATCGACCCATATCTGCTCGGCACTGTTAGCTACTGTAAAATAGGTATATTGCGGACCGAACCATATCTGCTCGGCACTGTTAGCTACTGTACAATAGATTATATCGCGGACCGACCCATATCTGCTCCGCACTGTTAGCTACTGTACAATAGGTTATAGTGCGGACCGACCCATATCTGCTCGGCACTGTTAGCGACTGTACAATAGGTTATATCGCGAACCAACCCATATCTGCTCGGCACTGTTAGCTACTGTACAATAGGTTATATATCGAACCGACCCATATCTGCTCGGCACTGTTAGCAACTGTACAATAGGTTATATCGCGGACCGACCCATATCTGCTCGGCACTGTTAGCTACTGTACAATAGATTATATCGCGGACCGACCCATATCTGCTCGATACTGTAAGCTACTGTACAATAGGTTATAGTGCGGACCGACCCATATCTGCTCGGCACTGTTAGCTACTGTAAAATAGGTTATATATCGGACCGACCCATATCTGCTCGGCACTGTTAGCTACTGTACAATAGGTTATATCGCGGACCGAACCATATCTGCTCGGCAATGTTAGCTTCTGTACAATAGGTTATATCTCGGACCGACCCATATCTGCTCGGCACTGTTAGCTACTGTACAATAGGTTATATCGCGGACCGACCCATATCTGCTCGGCACTGTTAGCTACTGTACAATAGGTTATATCTCGGACCGACCCATATCTGCTCGGCACTGTTAGCTACTGTACAATAGGTTATATCGCGGACCGACCCATATCTGCTCGGCACTGTTAGCTACTGTACAATAGGTTATATCGCGGACCGACCCATATCTGCTCGGCACTGTTAGCTACTGTACAATAGGTTATATCTCGGACCGACCCATATCTGCTCGGCACTGTTAGCTACTGTACAATAGGTTATATCGCGGACCGACCCATATCTGCTCGGCACTGTTAGCTACTGTACAATAGGTTATATCTCGGACCGACCCATATCTGCTCGGCACTGTTAGCTACTGTACAATAGGTTATATCGCGGACCGACCCATATCTGCTCGGCACTGTTAGCTACTGTACAATAGGTTATATCTCGGACCGACCCATATCTGCTCGGCACTGTTAGCTACTGTACAATAGGTTATATCGCGGACCGACCCATATCTGCTCGGCACTGTTAGCTACTGTACAATAGGTTATATCTCGGACCGACCCATATCTGCTCGGCACTGTTAGCTACTGTACAATAGGTTATATCGCGGACCGACCCATATCTGCTCGGCACTGTTAGCTACTGTACAATAGGTTATATCTCGGACCGACCCATATCTGCTCGGCACTGTTAGCTACTGTACAATAGGTTATATCGCGGACCGACCCATATCTGCTCGGCACTGTTAGCTACTGTACAATAGGTTATATCTCGGACCGACCCATATCTGCTCGGCACTGTTAGCTACTGTACAATAGGTTATATCGCGGACCGACCCATATCTGCTCGGCACTGTTAGCTACTGTACAATAGGTTATATCTCGGACCGACCCATATCTGCTCGGCACTGTTAGCTACTGTACAATAGGTTATATCGCGGACCGACCCATATCTGCTCGGCACTGTTAGCTACTGTACAATAGGTTATATTGCGGACCGACCCATATCTGCTCGGCACTGTTAGCTACTGTACAATAGGTTATATCTCGGACCGACCCATATCTGCTCGGCACTGTTAGCTACTGTACAATAGGTTATATCGCGGACCGACCCATATCTGCTCGGCACTGTTAGCTACTGTACAATAGGTTATATCTCGGACCGACCCATATCTGCTCGGCACTGTTAGCTACTGTACAATAGGTTATATCGCGGACCGACCCATATCTGCTCGGCACTGTTAGCTACTGTACAATAGGTTATATCTCGGACCGACCCATATCTGCTCGGCACTGTTAGCTACTGTACAATAGGTTATATCGCGGACCGACCCATATCTGCTCGGCACTGTTAGCTACTGTACAATAGGTTATATCTCGGACCGACCCATATCTGCTCGGCACTGTTAGCTACTGTACAATAGGTATATCGCGGACCGAACCATATCTGCTCGGCACTGTTAGCTACTGTACAATAGGTATATCGCGGACCGACCCATATCTGCTCAGCACTGTTAGCTACTGTACAATAGGTTATAGTGCGGACCGACCCATATCTGCTCGGCACTGTTACCTACTTTACAATAGGTTATATCTCGGACCGACCCATATCTGCTCGGCACTGTTAGCTACTGTACAATAGGTTATATCACGGACCGACCCATATCTGCTTGGCACTGTTAGCTACTGTATAATAGGTATATCGCGGACCGAACCATATCTGCTCGGCACTGTTAGCTATTGTACAATAGGTATATCGCGGACCGACCCATATTTGCTCAGCACTATTAGCTACTGTACAATAGGTTATAGTGCGGACCGACCCATATCTGCTCGGCACTGTTAGCTACTGTACAATAGGTTATATCTCGGACCGACCCATATCTGCTCGGCACGCGCCATACTCGCTTTATTTACGGTTCGACATAGTTGCGCCTCATTAACACTCGATTTGTGTTATTGCTTATGATTTTGGTCGGATGGCGCAGTGATTAGCGCGCTTGCCTTTCAGCAAGGTGGCCGGGGTTTGATTCCCCGATCGGACGTGAATTGGTATGGGGTCACTTGTCCGACCACGTGAATTTTATCTGGGTACTCCATTTTCCTCCCACATTAGACCCCCGCAATCTATCATACATTGTAAGTTGAAATAACTTGTTTCATAATTTTTGTAAAATAATATGTATTTTAATAATTTTGATGTTGAACTTGAATATTTACAACGGGTAGTGTAAGATAAAAAAAAGTAATCTTACGACCATTTACTTATTCTATCCCGTATCAACCCTCCATCAATATCAGCACTCGGGCTCCTGGCTCCTCGGGCTGATATAGAGGTCTCCAGATGATACGGAGTAGGATAAATGCTTCCTCTAAATACTAAAAGCGGAGAAATCGGGCAATTTTACCGCGATGTTTCCGTAGGCTTGAGCGCATTGACGTATATTCGTTATTTGACGTGTGGGTTTTTATATATCTAGTAGATCTTCATGTAATATTCTGAAGTTTAAATTAGATCATTGAAAAGTACCTGTAGTCTGTAAATTGACCTAGAGATCCGAGCTGATATCATTGCGCGTTAGACGCGTTGGGATATAGATATACGACTTACCCAGCTCATCATCATCATTATTTTTTGAACAACGTCGATTGTCTACTGTCGCTCTCTGTCATAACAACTGTCGATCCGTATCTCAGTCACCGTCTCCGCTTCAGTTAGTATTGGTCTCGTAGCTGGCGGGACACAACCGTAGCATCACTATATATCAACACCCACGGGATTCAGGGGGAATAACTCATTGGTAATGGCAGATAGGTCCCAGACCTCTGTCTCTCCGGGACATAAGATCTCTATCTAATCCGACAACACATTAAACCCCTGGACTTAGAGACTTTTATCAAATATAACACAATGTAGCCACAGGAGGTAGAGTCTACCCTAATCCAGCCACAGCAGCCACGTAAGCCTATCTGCACGGTTTTGGCTTTATGAATGGCATTAGAATGTGAAATTGATTGCCAGTGACAATTGTGACGGATTAGCGATATATCGGTCGTATAATACAGCCATATACAGCTCCGGTGATGCTCTAGTTCAAAGCTCCTTCGCCGAAATCAATTATTGTCCGAACACCTGATGGTCCTTATAACGTCTCCGCAGTGTACATAGACAAACCATGCCGGCGGCGCTACTGTTCAGCAGCTGTATCATGATTGCTCCCTCTGTTCCCGCGCATGTGTTGCTTCTCGATCTCAACATACCGTAGGGTTGTGTATTGGATGCAAGATGGGGCGGAGTCATGCTCACTGACTGACAATCCAAGTATCGACTGCTGTAATAGGCACAGATATATAGAAAAATCGCACCATGTTATGCCATCAAAGACTGAGTTGTTGGGGAGGCTACCGTTGTTGGGGAGGATGAGCCTGACGGTATGTTGGCTGTTTATAACATTGTGTTCCTGCCTTTTTACATAGCAGTAATCGGTACAATTATAATTAGTGTTTTCGTGTTCCTGAAATCACTGTTGGAACCCAAAGAGGTTTTACCTAAACTTTATTACAAGGAATCTACACTAGCTACACATATATTACGGAAATGCTCTCTTGCAACGAGGATGTTTTCCGTGGATTTACCTTTAAGGAATCGTCATATTCAGACGTTGTTGCCATGGCTACTGCCCCATGCGAGTGTCCAGTTTGATCGAGAGTACTTACTTCTCAAGGACAAAGGTGTGGTAGCCCTTGACTGGGTCAGTAACATTCATGTGCAGAAACGAAAACGGAGGACCGTTATGGTCGTTATCCCGGGTATCACCGGATGTGCGGCGAGTGTGTCGAAGATTTGTCAGGCGGCGGCCAAGCGTGGCTTCCAGACTGTCGTTTTTAACCGCAGAGGACACGGCGGCACTGTTCTTACGACACCCAAATTCCAGAGTTACGGAGATCCGTCCGATTTACGGCAAGTCGTGAAGTATATACACGGCCGGTTTCCGAAGGCACTTATCACCATGGTATCGTATGGGACCGGATGTGAGGTATTGCTATCCTATCTTGGCGAGTTTGGATCCTCAGCTCACATATGTGGTGGTGTATGTGTGTCACCTTCATTTGACATTTCGGAACGAAGTACACAAAAGATAAGTGGAATATACGATCTATTTTTGTTATTATATTTAAAGAAAATTTTATGGCAGCATGCCAAAGCACTTTTAAAAGTAGTGGACGTCCAGAAAGCATTGAAGACTTGGTCTTTAACCGAGTATGACCAGTGTGTGTTCTGTAAGTTATACGGTTACAGCACTATAGAGGAATTCTGGGAAAGAAACAACCCTCTAAGAGATGTTGATGACATATCCATACCCTTAATGTTCGTCAGTAGTCTTGACGACCCTGTGTACAAAAACAACAACATTCCATATGACCTATTCAAGTTCTATCCTAACTTCCTGATGGTGGCCATGGAGAGGGGAGGCCATTGCGGATTCCTAGAAAACCTAAGGTCTTTATCCTGGGCCGACAGGTTAACTTTGGATTATCTTGACGCCATTTTGGAATTTACGACAAAGGGTTTTACGATAGATTATCATAAAAGTCCTGCAAGATCTACAATATGACACTTTAGAAGATCATTATATATTTATATAGTTTTTCCAATACTTTGCAATTTCCACCATTTTTGCTCAAACGAGAGTGTGTTGAAAAGAATGAATGTGTCTGTCTATACGTCTTCGTGTGCACGAGTCTGTCTGATTGAGCTATATGTGATGTCGGTCGTCTGTCCTGTCAATATTAAACGCTTATATATTTGTTCGTCTGATACTTCGACATAGTCCGTCTGTTCGGTTGTTTTAATCAATATGATATAAGCAGGTAGGTAGCAAGATATATTCGCCTACGCTCTTTTTTTTTTACCTTTGTATCTGAAAAAAAAAGTCAATTAACAAATAAATATTTAATGACTTCAACTCTGCCATCCCTATCACCTTGTGCAAAATACTGCGTTACACTATTAATACAAAAATGACTTTCGAGCCACACTAGCTAAGCATATACTGGTACACTGAACGCCCCCTATATTTGTCGCATGGTAGTGTTACAAAGCTCCGAGGAATAACTCTGTATGGGTGACGATATTTACCATGGACGTGTACACATTTCAATTGGTCCCGTGACGGTCTCTACCGGCGCTACATAATAGCTCTAGTGGGCGGTTGTTAACGGTGACAGTTTGGCTTACATTAGGCTGAAGTTTTTTATTGTCACATCAAAGATATAGAAATAACTACATTTGTTTTGAGTTGATGTTATGGATGATACCTATACTGTAAATTGCTTCATTTTGCAAGTATTTATTTTCATGACTTTCGTAAGCTATTCAAGGGAATTTGCGATTAATGGTCCTGGCGGATTACAAATATATACCTGTATATATTGTTATGTAAGTGATATATAAGTTATATTGTTATATAATGATATACATACGTCAATATTGAGCGGATGATTCGGTTATAAGACCTGGACGGAAGTAATGAAGGATTCGTTTGTTTTGGACGGAAGTTATCAGTGATTCGTTGTATTTGTTTTGGACGGAAATTATCAGTGATTCGTTGTATTTGTTTTGGATGGAAGTTATCAGTGGTTCGATGCATTTGTTTTGGACGGAAGTTATTAATGGATTTTTTTGTTTTTCTTGAGAATGTCTTTGATTCGTTGTATTTGGTATGAACGGTTAGGTGTATATGTTTTGGACGGAAGTTGCCAATGTTTCGTAGCAATTGTTTTTGACAGAAGTTATCAGTAGTTGAGTAAAAAGTTGCTTGCATTTCCTGACAGAGGTTAACAATGCTTGGCTGTATTTATTTCGACCGGAAGTTATAAATGGTTTTAATGTTTTGGGCGAATGTTGACAGTGGTGGTATGTAAAGTTTGTATTTGGTGGGTTTGTTCAATCATACATATATGGTTATACACCAATACAATTGATTGTATCAGGCAGGTTTGATTACAAATGTAATATAGCTTCGGACGATAACGACTATTTTGACTTGAATGTCGTACCGTAGAATCTATATAATAAGAGAAAGGAAGTTAGGAGGGGGATCAAACGGGGGTTCTGAGATGTGATTATCATTTCATAAAGTATACTTACAAAGAAAAGTATGTTATCGAAAATGCTCATCAGATCTATTTGTGCCAAGGAATTCTTATAAACCATTTTTTGTGTGTTATATATCCAATATCTCTCTATATATATACAATGTATATAAGGTGTTAATTCCAGTGATATTATAAATATTGAAATGGTATCTTCCTCTTGCCGTGAGATTGTGGATTGTCCCAGCAAAACGTGTAAAATCCGTATGTGATGGCTGTACAATCTGTATGTGATGGCTGTAAAATATGTATGTGATGGCTGTAAAATTTGTACGTGATGGCTGTAAAATCTGTACGTGATGGCTGTACAATCTGTATGTGATGGCTGTAAAATATGTATGTGATGGCTGTAAAATTTTGTACGTATTGGCTGTAAAATATGATGGCTGTAAAATATGTACGTGATGGCTGTAAAGCATTACGTGATGGCTGTAAAATCTGTATGTGATGGCTGTATAATCTGTACGTGATGGCTGTAAATTCTGTACGTGATGGTTGTAAAATATGTACGTGATTGCTATAAAGCATTACGTGATGGCTGTAAAATCTGTACGTAATGGCTGTAAAATCTGTATGTGATGGCTGTTAAATCTGTATGTGATGGGTGTAACTTATGAATGTATGGTAGAACAGTGAATGAATGACTGAAATAATGTGATGTGTGATATTCATATCCATTTTAAAATATCGTTATTAAAATTGTTGATAAAAATACCAGAAATTGAATAGAATTGAATTGTTCTTTATTATCATATTACATTTTTTCATACGACAATAGGACTACTTTTTCAAAATCTGGTCACCATATTGAGCGTTCCTGGGTGTTTGTTACATGCGTCATAACACAATTCGACGTCCTGATTGGCCGTAATGACTTTGATTGGATAAGTTGAAATAACTTGTTTCATAATTGTTGTAAAATAATATATATTTTAATAATTTTGATGCTGAACTTGAGTATTTACAACGTGAAGTATAAGATAAAAATAATAATCTTACGACCATTTCCTTATTCTATCCCGTATCAACCCTCCATCAATATCAGCCCTCGGGCTCCTGGCTCCTCGGACTGATACAGAGGTCTCCGGTTGATGCTTCCTCTAAATACTTAAAGCGGAGAAATCGGGCAATTTTACCGCGATGTTGCCGTAGGCTTGAGCGCATTGACGTACATTCGTTATTTGACGTGTGGGTTTTTATATCTAGTAGATCTTCATGTAGTATTCTGAAGTATATATTAGATCATTGAAAAGCATATGTAGTCTGTAAATTGACCTAGAGATCCGAGCTGATATCATTGCGCGTTAGACGGGTTGGGATATAGATATACGACTTACCCAGCTCATCATCATCAATATTTATTGGACAACGTCGATTGTCTACTGTCGCTCTCTGTCATAACAACTGTCGATCCGTATCTCCGCCACCGTCTCCGCTTCAGTTAGAATTGGTCCCACAGTTGGCGGGACGCAAAAGTAGCATCAATATATATCAACACCCACGGGATTCAGGGGGAATAACTCATAGGTAATGGCAGATATAGGTCCTTGACCTCTGTGATATTGAATTGAGGTATTCTTTATTATCATATTACATTTTTTTTCATACGACAATAGGACTACTTTTTCATAATCTGGTCACCATATTGAGCGTTACTGCGTGTTTTTTGCATGCGTCATAACACAATTCGACGTCCTGATTGGCCGTAATGACTTTGATTGGATTGTAACGGTGAGATGCCTGGCGATACTTGACAGTATAATTAACTTCGAAGCAGACATCATGGCGGTGAAAGTATACTTACACCCGGAGACGGAAACGGATCGTCCGGATGTGATTACTGTAGCGAGTAAAACACGTTTAAAGCCGTGAGCATCTATCATTGATCATTTACGCTATTGTTTATGATGAATCATTTTTTTAAATCAATAGACTTGCTAAATAAAAAATGTTTTTAATTTTCAATCTTTTAGAGACATTTTTAAATCGGGTTTTCAATTTAAATCATTCTCAAAACAAATAACATCATTTGTATTAATGTTATATCGCCATGACAAAAGACAAACACGTGCATTGTTTGTATCCATTTAATTATAAAATGCACTATACAATTTATCAAATGGAGCGTCTACTTTTTAAAACGCTGATATATGACAACCTTGTAATCTAACAACACATGATTTGCAATACAATGTCAATAATGACATTTTACAGCCTTCAGATCGTCCATGCAAAGTTAATTACACCTGTACATCATACATCGAATGATATGGATTTTTGTGAAGCCGAAGTTAAAATTGCACATGCGAACTGAAGATTAGCAGCTGCCATAGCACTGTTGGTTTAAATAATATATTGTGTCACTAATTGCAATGGTAAATACCCGTGAATGTCACTTATCTTGTGTAAAATCCAAAGTTTATACAATTTTCGGATTAATGAAACGGAACGAATGAGTTTTTTGAAAGACGTTTTTTTTTTTCAAATGTACATATTAAAAAAAAGAGCAAAGTCATTATAATTAATTGGGATTGGAACAAAACAAGCTGAAAGCTACACTTTAATTCCAATTTCGTCTTCTCTTGTTTCAATAACATAAATATCATTGTCATATATGCAGACGTCAAGAAGTGTAAAATAAAAACCTATTAAAACTATCGAAATCCCTAGAACAATATGTATAGGACTGTCTCCATATACACGTATAGCATACCCCTACAATTTAAAATATGTTGCAACAGAATACAACCTTAGGCGTTCAGACGAAACGTATTAACGCATCATCTCAAATAAAGGGGCCAAACACGGCCTTTTGGGGGTACCAATCCTCTCCTTCAGTAAAGAAAGTTGCATTTACCTTACATATACTCTGCGTTCTAGTTTTACAATAAAACCAACACTTATTGAAATGTTTTGTTCAAGGGAATTCGCTGCACGCAAGAGAAAACCCAGAAATCAAGGAGATCGGGTAAAAAAACAACCTTATCGGTACCAAATTTTTCTTTTTGTGACCAACGTTCCACGGCATTCTAGTTTTACAACGAACTACTAGGAGGTTTTGTCCAATGAAGTTTTCATACACATATTTCCTGTAGTTTTGCATTGTTTTGTCCATTAAACGCGGAACATAATCTGCATCATCACTACTGACCGCAATAAGCTAATAAACGTTAGCACATTGGTACGAGTGTATGATGTCTATCATCTGACTTTATTACCAATTAGCTCGCTTAGATAGCTGTTGCTGTGGGTAGTGTAAAGTACAAACAAGCTGGCTACTACAAATTGTATAACACGACACAGGTAAAAAAAAAAGACCACACAAGACCACACAGGTAATGATTTGTATCACTGCTGACGTGAACGTATATCTTTAAAGATGTAAAATACGTATCTTCTTTTCAAAAGAGTTATTTTATTATAAACATTTTTTTATCAATGGTAATTTGGACTTGTATTGATTCCGAACACGATAGTAATTCCATTCTTATTAACAGTGTATTTGATGGCACTATGCCTGTATTGTCCTTGTTGAAGGGGAACAAGCTTCTTTGTTTCCCCAAGATTAAGAGAGCACGAGGGCATAGCCCGAGGGAAACATGATTAATCGAAGGGAAACAAAGAATCGTATTTCCCTTCGACAAGGTCAATACATATTATATCACAAACAATTATACAACAGTAAATGTTTTATTTTCCCGTCATGTGATCAGTATAATCCAATCAGAAATACTGTGATGTAGATGAGGCATAACAATGTCAAATGTAATCATATTATTTTGCCTATGAATGGCAGTAAGTTACCTTTCGCAATGTGAACACGCTACATATAACAATTGATATCACATCAGGTCAATGATGAAAAACAAAGATTGCCGTACGTTCTGTGTATGTGTTAGGATTGATTTAATGGTGAAGTGCATTAGATGGTGAACTGGGTTGATTTTCACAAAACTTCAATTTGTTCTGTGTCACAGAAATATGTCCATCTTTTCCTCCTCCTGGATGACAATTTCATAATTTTTGTAGAAATTCTGTTGTCATCGGCACGAAGAGGCTTGCACATTCATGTAAGCCGTACACAATGGTTTTGTTGTTTTGTATATGCCTAAGTCCACCCCATGTACCCTCGAGTGACTATATCGGACGTATACCGACCAATGGATAAACAATACCCACAGGCCTTGTTTTGCTCTTTACTGATGACACTGTGTTCCTTCGTGCCCCATATGCTACTCCCGTACATAAGAACTGGTTCCACAAAGGATTTAAACAGCTTAGTGTATACCGAATACGTCATCCCATTGGATATGAATTTACTCCTAAAGCGCGACTTGCTGATTTAGAAATTTCAATAACAGCCTTTTTTTGGAGTTAGATTTTCATCTAGCCTTGCTCCGAGATATTTATAACTATCAGAATACTCCAGCACTGATCCAGACAGTTCAAACTGAAATCCTGACTTCCTGATTGAAGGAGGTCGGAAATGCACTATCTTAGTTTTTTCCTTGTTTACCTTTAATTCCCATTTTTGACACCAAGCATCCACAATGGTGAGTAGGTGTTGCAATTTTTCCTCAAACGACGCGATGATAGCGATATCGTCAGCGTATAAAAGTATACTTAAAATAATGCCATTCACGGATAGCCAACATTCTGCAGCATTAATCTGTTGAAAAAATATGTATTTTTATATGGAAACCATGATCACTTGATGATAGGAATCCACTTTATTACAGAATAACATGGACAAAACAGTTGGTGATAAACTGCAGCCCTTTTTGACCCCGGAAGTGATGTCAGACCACGGGGTGAAATCATTGTTTACTTTGACTGTATACATGCTGTGTTTTCATATAAGGATTTTAAAGCACATAAGAACTTTTTTCCAATGCCTAAGTAACTACTTTATCCCATTGTTTTTGTAGATCTTCGTTGTACATAGTTTTTTGTAGATCCTCGGACCAGTCTGGTTTGTACATAGTTTTTTTAGATCCTCGGACCAGTCTGGTTTGTACATAGTTTTTGTAGAACCTCGGACCAGTATGGTTTGTACACAGTTTTTGTAGATCCTCGGACCAGTATGGTTTGTACCTAGTTTTTGTAGATCCTCGGACCAGTATGGTTTGTACCTAGTTTTTGTAGATCCTCGGACCAGTATGGTCTGTACATAGTTTTTGTAGATCCTCTGACCAGTATGGTTTGTACATAGATTTTGTAGATCCTCGGACCAGGATGGTTTGTACATAGTTTTTGTAGATCCTCGGACCAGGATGGTTTGTACATAGTTTTTGTAGATCCTCGGACCAGGATGGTTTGTACATAGTTTTTGTAGATCCTCGGACCAGCATTTTTTGTACATAGTTTTTGTAGATCCTCGGACCAGCATTTTTTGTACATAGTTTTTGTAGATCCTCGGACCAGAATGGTTTGTACATTGTTTGCCGTCGTTAGTTTGTTTGCTCCACGACCCCGACATTTTACACGTTATACATGCTGTGTTTTCATATAAGGATTTTAAAGCACATAAGAAATTATTTCCAATGCCTAAGTAACTACTTTATCCCATTGTTTTTGTAGATCTTCGTTGTACATAGTTTTTTGTAGATCCTCGGACCAGTCTGGTTTGTACAGAGTTTTTGTAGATCCTCTGACCAGTATGGTTTGTCCATAGTTTTTGTAGATCCTCGGACCAGTCTGGGTTGTACAAAG